GGTCGGGCCTCGAACACTGACAACGATCGATTAGACGTCACCGACGGGATTGAGATCCAGAGTATACCTCGTATACTTACGTAAGCTACAGTTTGACTTTTGACTGAAGAGATGCGCGATGTAAAATATGCGGGCAACATGATCGCGATCTTCCCGCATGATTTGACATTTGCGTCTATAAGATTCTCGAAATTCGCGAGACAATTTAGAAAAAGAAAAAAAAGAAAAAACTACGATCGAATTTTAACTTGTGCAATTTCCGTTTAATACAATGATAAATATTAATATCAAGGCTGCAAATATACTTCTAGCTTTATATGGTATACGTTATACAATTTTACGAAGCGAGACGGAGAAATTCCGCGAGTCCGAAGATTGAGCGTAAAAATTCAGGCGCTGCAGATGCTGCATTATGTATCGAACCGGCCGGCCGTTAATAAGATCACATCGGCGCCGGGGCGTGGTACATTTTGAGCAGACGTCGGTCTCAGAATAAACTGTGTTACGTTATTGTGCATATATTTATGAGACGCCTGGCGGGCGTCCCAAACGGCTCAAGTATCGTCGCGCGTTAGCGTTATGCAATCGCGATGGAATATTCACGAACCGCCCGCGATGTACCGCGCCGCGCCGGCATGGCACATGCCGGTACCTTCGATAAATATATCCCATTATTATTCGCCGCGCTACACACAGGCCAACGATCGCGTTATCCGTCACGCATCTGTAAACAAGATCCACCCCGACGATATAGATAGAAATTGGCAAATCTACAGCGCGCGCGTGGGCCCCCCCTGCAACGCGCGCGATCGACCGCAAGCGCGAGAACGTCGAATTTACCGGTCTTCTGCGATCTCATTCCCGCCCGCGACGAAAAATCTGAGGGTCTGGCGGACGGTTTCACCGACGTCAAAGTCAGGTTTTCAATCGTCAATCTCGTCGTTTACACTCCCGGTTTCTAAAGAGAGGCAAAGATTCGACTCGTCTACTTGATCGTCTATTTAATCGCGCGATTTATGATTTAAACCAGGCGGATGATCGGCAAATTGCGTTTATAAGCTCTTGCGAAGAGACGTATTACACGTGCCTTCACTCGAGATGGAACTTATAAATATTTTACCGATCCCTCGTCCGATTTATCGCAAATCTCGCGTGTGCCAGTAAATAAATAATTTGTCCCTCTGCCTCTGGAATATTGAAAAAAAAGAAACCGCCTCTCTGAAGAGGATTAAGCTTTTAAGGGGATCAAATTTAATCGACGTCGGAAAAACCGATTCCGCCCGGGGGGATGGGTAAATGTGAGATAGAGAGAGCGGTCGAAGAACAGGGGAGATATATTATTGACGTGTAAACACCTCGATATATTCAACTTACTTTTGGGACGCCCTACCCCTATAAAAAAAAGAAAGTACAGATTCATTAATAAGGTCCGTGTGATATTGGTCGTCGCTTACGTAGGACTGCACAAAGCTGCACGTATAAATTACAAAAAAGTCGGTATCGCTCGTCTCCATAACTTGCACTTTCCTTTCTTTTCTTTTTTTTTCCCGTGCAAACTAAATCCGAATCGACCGCTCGATCACGCGGACGGTGATTGATTTGCACGTTTTCCTTTTTTTTTCTTATTTTTATTGCAGAGACTGGTCGTTCCGACACTTATTTGCGAGCGAGTGATCGGTGTATATATATATATATCTGTCTCTTATACACATCTCTGAGCGGGCTGGCAAGGC